GTCTCCTCGTTGATTTTGTCTGGGAGATCTATCCATTGATGTCAATGGGGTGTTAAAATTCCCTACTATGACTGTGTTACTGTCAATATCTCCCTTTATGTCCATCAAGATTTGCTTTACATATTAAGTGCTCCTACATTGGCTGCATGAAAGTTTATAGTTATATCCTCTTGTGAGATTGCTCTTTTTATCATTACGTAGTGTCCTTTTTTGTCTCTTACTATAGCCTTTGTTTTAAAGTCTATTTTGTCAGATATAAGTATTGCTACCCAAACTTTAAAAAAAAATTTCCAGTTGCATGAAATATCTTTTTTCCATCCTTTTACTTTTAGTCTTTGTGTATCTTTCCTTCTGTGGTGGGTCTCTTATAGACAACATATAAATGGGTCTTGCTTTCTTATTCATTCAGCTACCCTATGTCTTTTGATTGGAGGATTTAAGCCATTTATATTTAAAATGATTATTGACAGGTACATATTTCTTGGCATTTTTTTAACTATGTTTTTCTTCTTCCTATTCTTTTTTTTCCTATGTGTGTGTGCAATGGATGTGTGTGTATGTGTAGACGGCATGTATCATCAGTCTCTGAAGTTTTTCTAACTTTAGAAGTGTAAATGCTATCATAAAACATATCATTTGGAGCTTTAATTTTTATATATTTTTTTTTCTTGGTGGTACCAAACTCCTTCAGCCCCCTGGGAAGCTCCCCCCACCCCTGCCCCCTGGAAAGCTTTTTATTTCTCCTTCAATTTTAAATGATAGCCTTGCTGGGTTAGGGGTTAGGGTTAGAGTTATAAGGCCCCCTAAAAATGAAGCAGACATCAGGGCCCACCATGTTCCCCATTGATCTTAGTTGTCCAGATTTGGACTCACCACGCTCCCCAGGTATCCTAGTTGTCCATTCTGGGGACTGTCATGACCCATTGACAATATCATAAAGGATGAAGAGACTGTAGACAGATAAAAACCACCATTGAGGCTAAAGATGTGCTCTTGAACTGAACATTCATGACAATTTAGCCAAATACATGAAATCCTCTCATTTCCTTAAAGCTTTATAAATGACCAACAGAGAACATATATTATTTTTTAAGCCTATATTTCAAGTATTAAGAAAAAGTAACCATGATGTGATTATAAAGTACCAGCCCTAAGTAAATCCCCAGTTCCCGCTGCCAAAAGGGATATTCAGTGATGTCACAAGGGAATTTCCTATAGGACTCAAAGTGCAGTTGAGCCTTGATTGTTGTAGTTAATACTAGAGGGATTTGACCACCAGGCCGACTGGCTGTGTGAATCAGCTGTGTCTGCCGCGGAAAACTTCTGTCCTCTGGGGAGGTGCTAATCTAGCCTTTGCCTGAGGCTATCCGGCAAATGGCTCTGCGCAGGGCTTGGGCGGGGCGGGCTCAACAGGGCGGGCGGAGGGAGCCGTTATGGTGCCCTCAGTCCTGTTCCCAGAGGCTCTGCTTCTCAGAACCCCCGGAACCGCTGCAAACCTCGGAGGGAAAGCTGCCTTCCAACTGATGCCAGACACTCCCGCTTCTCCCGTTTGGGTCCGAGTCCCCAGCGATTCGCCCGTATCTGGAGCTCAGAGTCTGAGACTCCCCCCTGACCGAAAACGACAACCGCGCTCTCAGCCACCAGCCCGCTTTGCGCGCGCACCTCCGCACCTGAGTTTTTTCCACACTGCGCCTCCTCTGAGCCTCGGTGTGCTGTTATTTTTCCTTCTAGTTGAAGAGTCTCTCCTCAGCCAGCCTTCCTGTGGTTCTGGGTGATGTCCGTTCCGTCTTTTAGTTGTATTTTTGAAGTGGTTGTTTGCGGCAGCAGTCTGCGGTGTTTACCTATGCCGCCATCTTGGTCCTGTCCCTAGGTTCTGACTCTAGGTTCTTCAGCCAGGTTCTCTCGCTAGGTTCTGTCAGCTTCTAATTTTTATATTTTTATTATAGTTATTTCATTTTGTAAATTTTAAATAACAAATCATTATTTCCAAGTGAAAATGGCAAAGGTTGATGAAAACAATAACAAATTATAGAGACAAGTTTAAATACTTAGATAAGTATAAAGTAAGGGTCTACTTCTGCATGATGAAAGTAAAACTTATTACGAGGGGAAAATAGGTTGAGATTGTAACAACGTGGATGAAACTGAAGGGCATTATGCTAAGTGAAATAAGCCAGACAGACAAAGACAAATAGTGCATATTGTCACTTATACGGGGAAGTAAAACACACACACAAATGTGAACTCACAGAAAGAATAAAAAGTGCCTGCCAGAGGCTGGGACTGGTAGAATCAGCAGAGAGAAGCTGGTCACAGGGTACACATTTTCAGTTACAAGATGAAGAAGACCTGGAGATCTAATAGTTGATCACACTGCATCGTATCTGAAATCTGCTGAGAGTAGAACTTAAATATTCCCCCACAAAAAAATAAATAAATAAAAGTAAACATGTGCGGTGAAAAAAAATTGAGTTGAGGACAGAGGAGATTCTGAGAGTATCAATCTCTGTGAAATAGCCCAAATTCCCAAGAGAACTTCAGACTTTCAAAAGCTATGAAATTGGCCCCAAAAAATAAATAAATAAAAGTAAATATGTGCAGTGAAAAAAAAATGGAGTTGAGGACAGAGGAGATTCTGAGAGTATCAATCCCTGTGAAATAGCCCAAATTTCCAAGAGAACTTCAGACTTTCAAAAGCTATGAAATTGGAGTTTGGTGGATTCCAGCCAAGAGCGCCAAGAGACACAGAAACCAGGCAATACCTGGCTTCCAAGTGGAATACATAGAAACTGATGAAGGTCTAGAACAGTGGTTCTCAACCTTCCTAATGCCGCGACCCTTTCATACAGTTCCTCATGTTGTGGTGACCCCCAACCATAAAATTATTTTCGTTGCTATTTCATAACTGTAATTTTGCTACTGTTCTGAATCGTAATGTAAATATCTGATATGCAGGATGTATTTTCATTGTTACAAATTGAA